GTATGGACCAAATGATGAACGAATGTGAGTTTCCTATTGTGCTTAATGTTTTTTTTCTTTTTTTTTTCCATTTTCATTTTACTTGTAAAAGAAAGGTTCATTTTGTGTAGATATTGTAATTTGTAGTTTCTTGTCAATGCGTTGCTTACTAATTTCTAAGTCTTGGGTTGAGTTGCTTTGCAAATGTTAGGTTTTGTTACTTCAGAGTTTAACCTTTTTGGAATGTAGAACTAATTTATGTTTCAATCAATTTCGTGATGAAGTTGTATTATACAGTATTGTGGAATTGTGATTCGTATTGTGTATGATTGCGTCACTTTTATGTATCGTGTATCACATACTATCATTTTGTATCGTATAATGTATCGTAAGATAAATTAACATAGATGAATATAGATATAAATAAATTATAAATATTTTCACATAATCTATAAATATATTGCAAGAATAATGTATTAAATCATATAATCAATGACATGAAAGTTATCTCTAAGAAAAATTAGGAAGAAAAAACCGAAATACACTTGTAAGAAATTTGGAAGAAAATTAAAAAAAAAAATTAATAACAAAAGGTAAATGACATTTCATTGCAAATATAAACAAGGCAAAAGTAGGTTTTTTCTTTTATTTAATTTTTTTTTTAAATTTTTAATATTTTTTTATGGGCCTAGTTGAGTTGATCTCAGGTTGATATGGTTAATGATTTGCAACCAAAGATCTTTTTTAGGACTTGTTTGGATATGAGTAGTGATATGGTTACTCCACCTGCACCACCTGCTCAGCCTCAAGAAGCTTAAGAAGCTCAAGAAGCCCAATACAGTTCAACTACACGTGTATCATTGCTCAGTTAGTTTGTTGTAGATATATAAATTTGTTAGGCTATTAGAGATATTAACTAGAGTAGGTTAGGCTGTTATAAGTCAGGTTAAGTAGCTGAGGTTAGGTTAGGATGAGTGTTAGATTTGTATGCAAGTCACTATTGTACTTGTACTCTATTAATTGAGAAATTCAATCAGCATCTTCTAAATTCTCATTATGATGTCAGAGCAATAGGCTTTTACGAGCATCAGAGAAGTTCATCAATGGCTTCTCCTTCCACCATTGCTGCTAGTGGCGGAGCCACAGCTAGACCAGGGGTCACGTGCCCCCCTTGGATTTTGGAATAATTTTTTTTTTTTGTGTAAATATAAAGAAAATATTTTAAACAAAAAAAATTATAAAATATTATTTAGAGTGAAATATCAATGACATTTTTAAAATTATGAGAATAATAATGGTTTTTTTTTTATTAAAAATAAAGATATTACGATAAGTCATATTATTATCTATGAAAATTTCAATACAATCGTGATGTCTATCATTATTGACATACAATTATAATTAATCTCAATAAAAATTTGGAATTTATTGAATTGTTAGGTACATTTGACATGTGGGGTTTATCCTCTATGTGTTTCTTTACTATTGGTTGGCGATATTATATGTCAATGATGACGTGATATTACTATTATATTAAATTTTTATTGAAATTTCGTATAAAAAATTATTTTATCATTATATATTTATTTTAAACTTATATCCATGACTTTTTTTTTTAATATATATTGTCCATGATTTACTAATTACAAATAATATATATAGATATATATTTATTTATCTTTCTTGAAGCCAATCGTAAAAGTTTATATGAAATATTTTGTAAAACGTTTCAATGTTATAATTAATAAGTGTCCCCTCTGATTTAATTTCTTGACTCTGCCACTGATTGCTGCATTTCTATCCACTTCTTCTCCTGTCTCTACACCACTACTTTCCAATCTTACTCTGTTGATCTCAAATCTCAGTGCATTTGTCGTTACAAAACTTGATTCATCCAATTACATAGTTTGGAAGAATCAACTACAAAACATTTTGCGAGCAACAAAGCTTCTTGGTTATGTAGATGGATTGAGGTATGCCCTTCATTTGTTGTGCTTGATTCACATAGTCTTGAAGTTCTGAATCCGACTTACACTCTATGGAATACTATTGACGCTTATCTCCTGAGTTGTATAACTACTACATTATCTCCATTTGTTTTCATACATGTGATGCATTATCTCCATTTGTTTTCACACATGTGATGCATTGTCAATCTAGTCATGAAGTCTGGACTACTTTGGCTAAAAAGTTTACCTCACTCTCTAGATCACATATACATCAATTAAAGAATAGGTTGAGTAAAATTACTAAGAAATGAGTCATAATGGAAGAATATCTGAATCAATTCAAGGTTATAGCCAATCAGCTTGCTTTAGTATCTTCACCTGTTAATGATGAAAGTCTTGTTCTTCTGATCTTGAAAGGCTTACCTGATGAATACAATCCCTTAAAAACTACTGTATGTGATAGATCAGATCCTATTTCTATGGATCAATTGTGCTCTCTACTTTGTCCTAAATCAATTCATGTAGAGGCTTCTCTTAAGCACACGCAAGCTGTTGAAGCTCTAGGCTTTTTTTCCTACAATGCACATGTAACAACCCACATTTTATGGCTTAGTCATGTTTGCATGCATTTACATGTTTTGCCATGTTAAGTCGCTGTAACAACCCATATTCATGTTGTAGTCATGTTCATGTTCATTTATATAGCTTTGCCTTGTTAAGTTTGCATTCATGAATCTTGTCTTGTTTTGTGTTTATGTGATTTGTCTAAGTGTTGTGCGCCTACTTTGATCCTCCCTTGGTGTCTCAAGCCTAAGTTATGTTAAGCCGAAGTCATGCCAAGCCTAGGTTACGTTACGCCTAGATCATTCCAAGCCGAGGTCATCTTCAGTCTAGAAGTGTATTGGAACCCCTTTGTTGACCTCCATCTTCGCCTTGACATATTGGCCGAGATGTCATTATCTAGGCCGAGGTGTGAATCACCAAGGCCGAGATGTGTATTATCTAGGCCGAGATGTTACCTTTGCACTTGAGTGACCTTGTCTTGGAGTGGTATGACCTAGACCGAGGTGTGGCACATCTAGGCCAAGGTGTGGCACAGCTTAATCAAGTGTTGTCCTTCCTAGCCGAAGTCATTGTCACCTTAGTTGCCGAAGCCTTGTCCTTAGCTGATGTCACCACTTGTCGGAGTGCCATATCGAGTAGTTTGTTAGATACACTTTGTCATAGCCTTGTCTTGTCAACCTATCATCTTTTTGAAGAGAACCAACCAGCCGTTGCCACGTGTCCGAGCTGAGAGTTAAGTCAGCCGGCAGAGAGAGAAACCCATCATTTTGTTTCTATACTTGTTTTGAAGAGTAGAGAGAGAAGCTCTAGAAGAGGGAGAGGAGTTCTTGAGAGGAGGTAGACTTCCAAGCTTGATCCCTAGAGATCGAACCGTTAGATCCGTGTTCTAAGGTTAGATTCTTGATCTGCACATGTTGTTTTTTATGTTTATGTTATTGCATTGCATGATTGAATATGATTTGTAAGCCATGCATTGTTTTGAAGTTCGGTTTTAGAAAGAGAAAATAGCATTCATGTGTTCTTCAAGAAAAGTCATGTTTTGATGCGAAAGCTCATGCCAAGATCCATGTTTTTGTGTTTGTTTTCACATGATTTTCAAGCATGGGTACCCAGGTCCATGTTTTCAAACTCATAGCATGAAATCCCAGATTTTGTAAATAAAGAAGTTATGATTTTAGCATCTATGTTCTTCATGATCTTCATGTTCATGTTCTTCCTGTTCTTCACGGGTGGAAACCCAGATCTCCAGACTTCACTTCCCGAGGTGTAGTCACCGAGATCACTCTTATCTAGACCCCACACTTAGGCCAAGCATCGTATCTCACCTTGGCCTACCTTGCATGATCACTTACACCTTTAGTTTGTCTTGTGCACACCTCGGCATGCAGCCGCATGCCGTGAAGCCTAGGTAGCCACACCTCGGCCGGGAGGTGTGGGACCTCGGCAAAGACCTGGTTGGTACCCAGCATGTCTCCCTGACATGTAAAACAGTGTTTTGACTTCCAGCATGTTTTCCGAGATCATTTGCATGCATGTAAGACTTGTTTTGAGAAGTGCATTCAGTATGCTTTGCCATGTGTTGTAGGACTTGGACCTTTGCCTTGACCTCGACGTCCCAAGAACTATGTGAGTGGTATTTTTAATAAAGTTATGTTTTTAAGGTTTTGATAAATCTTTGCCTTGTTTTGATAAAAGTATTTGTTAAACATGAATGATATCCATATTTTATGTATCATGTATAAGCTTTGTTTTGAATGGCATTGTATCAAGTAAGCTTTGTTTTGTCGACATTCTCGGAAAGTTCCTCGTGCTGGAGGACTCTAAACTTGCGCAGCACCCAAGTGTTAAAGGGCTACGGGCTCTTGTAACATAGGTCCCTTGTGCTGGAGGACTCTAAACTTGCGCGGCACCCAAGTGTTAAAGGGCTACGGGCTCTTGTAACATAGGTCCCTTGTGCTGGAGGACTCTAAACTTGTGCGACACCCAAGTGTTAAAGGGCTACGGGCTCATGTAACATAGGTCCCTTGTGCTGGAGGACTCTAAACTGGCACAGTACCCAAGTGTTAAAGGGCTACGGGCTCTTGTAACATAGGTTCCTTGTGCTAGAGGACTCTAAACTTGTGCAGCACCCTTGTTTGGGATATCTCCCTTGCTTGGTCTTCTTTTGCCACTGGCGGTTTACCGCGCGGGTCTTGTAAGTAAGTAAGTAAGTAAGTAAGTTTTGAAGGACCAAGGTTATGCCGAGGTTATGCTTTTGTTTTGAAGGACCAAGGTTATGCCGAGGTTATGTTATAAGATTTGACGTATGTTAAGTAAGTAAGTTTTGTAAGATCAAGTTTGATGAACAAGATTTATCTCATGTTTTGTACAAGCTGTGATAAGTTTGGTTTTGACAAAGATATACTATGTATTGTTTTGAAAAGACCTCGGGAATCATTCATTTAACCCCTTTATTACTTATACCATTCACTGAGTATCCAAGCTCACCCTCCCTATGTATATATGTAGGTAACAAGCAAGAAGTCGGCTACACCGAGATGTGTGTTTTGTATGCATGTTATGTCGGTTGTAATGATGTCGGCAATCTTGAAGCCTTTGTATCTTGAACATGTCGGCCTTAGAAGCCTTTTTCCAAGATGTAATATGTGTTTTTGTACTTCATTTCTATTTGTATTCAAGTTGTAAAGCTATGTAAAGATGTATGCCATTTCATTTGACTTATGCACTGCTCTTATGGACCACTTGTATTTTAGATTATTGTTTCCACACTTGTGAGCCCCCTATATCTATACTCTGATTGTGTATGAATTTTGAAAGTTGGCCTTCGGTAATCTCGGATTACTGGCCATCACGGCACCAAACTACTAGGGGCGGTTTGGGGCCGTGACAGCACACAGAGGCAATTTTTCTAATCAAGGAGGCCATAGAGGTCATTATAGAGGCAGAGGTAATTTCAGAGGAAGAGATGGAGGCAGATTTCGAGGTCAAACCAGTCATTCTAGTCATTATCAAAGAGGTAATAGCTTCAACTCATTTCAGAGGGGCAGACAAGGTTATAATACCTATGCTCATGCAAATGCAAACAGTTCATCCACTCCATGAGTGACTTGTCAAATCTGTGGCAAGATAAATCACACTGCCCTAGACTGTTGGCATAAGATGGATATAGCTTTTCAGAATCTAGTTTCTCAGAACTCACAGAGTTCAGGAAACTCTAAGGCCTATGTAGCATCTACTCCTTCCTCAGCTTCTGAGGTCAATTGGTTTTTAGATTCTAGCACTACTAGTCGCTTGACTAATGATCTTAGTAATCTTTCCTTCTATCAACCATAGGCATGAACAAGTAGCTATTGGTGATGGATCTACTCTTCCTATTGCTCATACTGGTAAAGGCCTCATTCTCACTCCCTTATTTCCATTTCATCTTACCAAAATGCTTCATGTTCTTACCATTTCTTCCAATTTTCTTTTAGTTCATCAATTGACTAAAGATAATCATTGTACTATTACTTTTGATAATCATTTCTTTCTTGTTCAGGATAGGCATACACAACAGATTTTGTATAAAGGCTCCTATTACCAAGGCCTTTATCTAATCAAATCATCTCCTGCTGCTGTGCCACCTCCTTCTCACATTTGTCTTTCTTGTTCTACTGCTGCATCTCCTGGAGTCACACCAAATTGGCACTTTCAACTTAGTCATCCTTTTCCCAAGAAGTTGCATCACATCTTGACTCATCATCACTTAGTTCCTAAGTCTTCTATTTTATTGAATAAAGGCTCTCCTCTAGTGAACATTGTTATGTTTCAAAGAGCCATAGGTTGCCTTTCTCTTTGTCTAATTCTACTATAAATAAGCCTTTAGCCCTCATTCACACTAATGTTTGGGGCCCATTTTCAGCATTTGTTTCAAGCTTTAAGTACTACGTGTTGTTCATTGATGATTTCAGCAAATTTACTTGGCTTTTTCCTCTTTATTATAATAGTCGAGGTGTTTGCTAAATTTCTTGAATTTAAAGATTTTGTTGAAACTCAATTCACCACTAAACTTCAGATTTTAAGGAGTGACAATTGGGGTGAATATCTCAGTCATATTTTTCAAGATTTTCTTAAGCAAAAAGGGATTGATCATCAATTGACCTATCCTCATACACCCTTCTCAAAATGGTGTGGCTGAGAGAAAACATATGCATCTCATAGAAACAACTATCACTTTTATGCATCACTTTTCTCTTCCTTTGGTTTATTGTTTTGATGCTCTTGCTACAGTTGTCTTTCTTATGAATAGGCATCCTACTCTCAAATTGAATGACCTCACTCCTTATAAAGTTTTGTTCAAACACAAGCCTGATTATCAGTTGTTAAGGACATTTGGTTGTAGATGCTATCCTTGGCTTAAGCCTTGCATACCTCTCATAAACTTTAACCAAAGTCTATTCCTTGTGTGTTTATTGGCTATCAACCTTCTATCAAAGGATATAGGTGTCTTGACCCTCAAACAGGGAAAGTTTATACCTCCAGGCATGTAGTCTTTGATGAATCCTCATTTCCTTTCCAGTCCTGATCTTAGCCTTCTTACTCAGTATCTACTTTTCTTGATTTCTTCCGGCATGCTTCTTCAGATCTGAAGTAATGTCTTCTGCACCACATCCGTCTCTATCTTCTCTTACCACTCCTCTTGCTCCAACATCCCCTGCCAACTCTCCTCTATCTTCAGCTTCCTCACCTCCTATATTTGTAACTCATCAGTCACCTACCTCCCTAGGTCCTCAATCATCTGCTCTGTCTGTACCTGTCTCAACTCCTCCTTCTGAATCTCAAATTTCTATCTCCTCTATTTTATTGATCTTCTTTGTCTTCCTATCAGTACTTATTCTATGCTTACCAGATCCAAGACCAGAATTCCTACTTTTTTTACTACCTCCACTAATAATTTTAAACCTCAAACATATAAAGAAGCTATTGTTTCTCCTGCTTGGCAAGCTACTATGTTTGATGAGTATGAGGCTCTCCAAAGACAGGGCACTTCGTCTTTGATGTCTCTTCCACCTGCTAAACAAGCTATAGGTTGCAAATAGGTTTACAGATTGAAGAAAAATTTAGATGGCACCATGGCCAAGTATAAGGCTCGACCAGTAGCTAAAGGTTTTCTTCAAATAGAAGGTGTGGATTATCATGGAGCCTTTAGTCCTGTGGCCAAACAACCTACTATCAGGGTTCTTCTATGTCTTGCTCTTCATTTTGATTGGTCAATTAAACAACTTGATATTTCCATTGCCTTTTTGCATGGTGTTCTAGAGAGAGAGGTGTACATGGTTCAACCACAGGGTTTTATTCATCCTACCCAGCCTTTATTTTTCTGCCTGCAAATTACACAAAGCTCTATATGGCTTAAAACAAGCCCCTAGAGCTTGGTTTTCTACATTTTCTATTTTTCTTCTTTCTCAACACTTTGTTGCCAGTCACTGTGATTCTTCCTTGTTTGTCAAAAAGACTTCTACTTCCATAACTATCCTTCTCATCTATGTAGATGATATTCTCCTTATATGCAACGGCCCTCTTTACATTCAATCTCTTATTTAGCAAATGCACGCTACATTTTCTATGGAAGAACTTGGTTACATTAATTACTTTCTAGGTGTTTTTGTCACCAAGTCCTCTTCAGGATATATTCTTTCTCAGCACAAGTCTGCCTTAGATATTTTGGCCAAAGCTGGCATGAGTAATTGTAAGTCTTATGCTTTTCCTATGTCTTCTAAATGCTCCAATTCCTCTTCTGAAGATGCCTCACCCTTTTCCCAACCTTCTCTTTATCGAAGCTTGGTAGGTGCCCTTCAATATCTCATTATCAGTCGACCAGATTTTGCCTTTGCAATCAATACTGCTTGTCAATTCATGCAATCTCCCTTAAATTGTCACTTTGTTGTTGTCAAAAGATTGCTCAGGTATTTGAAAGGCACCTTGGTCCATGGTCTGCATTTCTCTCGGGTCTCTTTCTTTTTAATGCCTGCGTAGATGCAGATTGGGCTGGTAGTACAATTGATAGGAGATCTACCACTGGCCACTGCATTTATCTTGGTCTGAATCTCATTTCTTGGACTGCTAAGAAACAACCTACTATGCCCAGGTCTTCTTTAGAAGTAGAATATAGGGCCTTAGCTCAGACTTCAGTTGAGATCAGTTGGCTTGGCATGTTACTTGCTGAGCATTATGTCCCTGCCCCTGTTCCTACTTTGTGGTGTGATAACCTTTCAGCTATTGCTATGGCTCATAATCCTATTTTTCATGCTCATACGAAGTAGATTGAGGTGGACTACCATTTTGTTCGAGAGAAGGTTGCTACCAAGACACTGCACATTGCTTATATTCCTACTGTAGATCAGGTTGCAAATATATTCACTATGCCTCTATCCGTGGCTCGTTTTCAGTATCTTCAAAGCAAACTCTTAGTCCTTCCCAATCTTATGCATTTGAAGGGGATTGATAAGGTTATTATACCTACACCACCTGCACCACCTGCTCAGCCTCAAGAAGCTCAAGAAGCCCAGTGCAGTTCAACTGCACGGGTATCATTGCTCAATTAGTTTGTTCTAGATATAAATAAATCTCTTAGGTTCTAAGAGATATTAACTAGAGTAGGTTAGGCGGTTATAAGTCAGGTTAAATAGTTGAGGTTAGGTTAGGATGAGTGTAAGATTTGTATATAAGTCACTACTGTACATGTACTCCATTAATTAAAAAATTCAATCAACATCTTCTAAATTCTCTAGTAGTTTCAAACACACTTGTTATATGGTTTATTGTTATGGTCAAAACAATTCTTTTGGTTCAAATTTTGGTCTAAACTTAAATGTGAAAGTTTGTTTCTATCACATGCACCACCTGCTCAGCCTCAAGAAGCTCAAGAAGCCCAGTGCAGTTCAACTGCATGTGTATCATTGCTAAGTTAGTTTGTTGTAGATATAAATAATTCTTTTAGGTTGTTAGGGATATTAACTAGAGTAGGTTAGGCAGTTATAAGTCAGGTTAAATAGTTGAGGTTAGGTTAGGATGAGTGTTAGATTTGTATATAAGTCACTAGTGTACTTGTACTCCATTAATTAAAAAATTCAATCAACATCTTCTAAATTCTATGGTAGTTTCAAACACACATGTTATATGGTTTATTGTTATGGTCAAAACAATTCTTTTGGTTCAAATTTTGGTCTAAACTTAAATGTGAAAGTTTGTTTCTATCACCCAAATTAGATCCATGAGAGAGTAGTTCAATTTCTTTTGCGAGCATATTTGGATTTGGTTTTTCTTATTATGGGATTTGTTTTACTATATGATTCATGATTGTTCAATAAGTGTTAATCAGAGAGATTGATAATAAAGGAAAGTTTGTTAACATAGAAAAATGTGAAGAATGAGATAAAAGTTAATTAATTGTGTGATACGAGTTGAATTGTGAAATGATACGAATGGAATCATGCAATATAGAAACATATCTCACGATTCTAGTCACCAACAATACGAGTTTGCGATATGTATTTTTTGTTTTTTGTTT